GGGGGATAGGTGGGGGGAGAGATCGAAGAGGGAGCAAATCTTTAGAACAGAGCTTTAACCAACGTGGATGAAGAAATTAGGTTCCCACTAAATTATACATAAGCTACAGGCCTTAACGTGGACGAATTTTAATTCACAGATTTGAAAACAACCACGTAACACCTCCCTCCCCCCCAAACCCATTTTACCACCTCCCCACAAATTTGGGTGGGGCTCGAACCTAAACCTATCCATGTGGCTGATTGGTGGATGCTCTGAAGTGGTTTGCTTTTTTTCCCCCATTAAACATCTGTCACCCTCATCTCTGTTTCTTCATTTCTTTGTATTATGTTTCTCTCTAGTAACACCTCTAATCTTCGACACTTACATTAAACCTACAAGGCATCGTTCCCGCCTACAGCCAAGTACCCTTTCTCACTTTGATAATAATAATAATGGAGATCATTTCTATAGCGCCCACTCCCGTGTAAACAGCTCTAGGCGCTTACTTTCTTGATCCCTTACAGAATTTCCTAATTTTAGCACCAAAATGTCCAGCACTAAAACTTCTATTAGTCCATGATATTGAAACTACATAAATCCTCTTGAGAACAGAGAAATTGGCACATTCATACAGAGCAAGTTGCACTGCTGCCTGCTAGGCACTGATCACAACTCACATCCTAAAGTGAGGAAAATTCATACAACATAGATCTACCTCTACCAAGGACACAATTTCGGCCCAATGGCGGCAGGGTTCAAACCCATTACCATACAGTCAAAGCACAAACGGCGTTTCTGTTCTTGCTAACTACTCCAAACCAGTCTTGAATTCTGTACTCCAAATACATCTAGGATATAGAGAGATCTAGATCTAGAGTCTTACTCTCTAAAAAAAATTTAAAAATTTAAAAACTACGCACGAAATACGCGTCAAATCTTAAAACGTCAATACAACGAAGTAAACATTTTGTGGGTCTAAACAAACTCAACGTGTCGCGGACATGACAACACCAAATGTCTAGAAAAAGTCAATACAATGAAGTTTGGCCTGAAGTATCCATCGACACTGCGAAGCACAAATCCAAACAGGGTTGGATATTGGGACTCTAGATCTAGACTATATATAGATCTGGAAATTAAAAGAAGTAGCTGCTGTTTCACACGCACGACCAAGCACGAACCGAAACGAAAGGTGTCCCAAGTAAACTATGAAATGGCTAATGGCAGAGTGAAAACACCCGAGAGCTTTGATTTACAAGAAAAAAACATCAAACTGGAAAAATCGAAAGGTATTTTCCGAACTTTGAAAATATGCCCACGTAACCCTTTGTGACAATTCTTAACTGAATCATATTTTTGTGGATTTTATGTGCACCTGTGTAAAAAGTGTATAGATCTACTGACCCAACAAACAGGCTTAGCTCCGTTATAATAAGATTTGTGTTGCAAGCGTTGTAAAACTTACTAAAAACTAAAACTTAGCCTAGCCACTCCCAACCTCGGTAGGGTTTCCAGATATCTTTCATACGCAAAAACAAAAACAACCACAACAACAAGTAATAATAAT